AAAATCCAAATCCCATACTATTGTTTCTTTATTCTCTCACCAACTCATCCTGAAGCCGAGAGCAAACACTCGAGACCTCACCAAGAAACTTCCTCAGCTCCTCCCTCGACACCACTGAATCGGACCCCACATCTAATCCCGATTCCATCATCATCATACCCTGTAGATGAGAACACAGGATCATAACCTTCTCATCATTCGCACTCGACTCAGCTATTAACTGAAACAAAGTACAATTTTTTTCCCGCCCAAAAGCGTAACCGGGCAATTTATATGGGACGAGGAAAGGGTGCTGGAGCAATTCAGGGATCCTCCACCGTGCATTTCGGTCCCACGAAAGGCATTTTTTCATGAGATCAAGAAGCCACGGGTTTTTCACGGGCTCGTAAATTATCTCGTGGGCCGGGTCTGTTATGACCTTGAACTTGGCCCAAAAAGTCTTGTATTCGGAAAATGGGGTCCGCCCATAGACCATCTGGTAGAGTATGCAGCCGAGGGACCAGATATCTGACGAGCGCCCGCATTTTATCGTGTTACCGTTTGAATCCGTCTCGTTGCACATGAATGCCTCTGGTGACATGTAGCTTAGTGTTCCCACCTGACAGTTATTGATGTTTTTTTGGAAATTTTCAAAATCATGAAAAAACTCGAAGGAGGTAAATTAGCGAAAAAATGAGAAAATGGGAAAAACCTGAGAGTCGCGCTGAATGTTTGTGGTATCGCTCATTATAGCCTTGGCTATACCGAAATCGATTAGCTTCAGGGAGCCTCTCACGAGAAGAAAATTAGCTGGTTTTAGGTCAGAATGCACGATACGCTCCTCGTGAATGGTGTTCACTGCTAGAAGTATTTGCTGCAACATAATTTTTGTGAACTGGGATTATTGTATTCATGATAGAGACGAAAAATTATGCGCAAACTAAAGAAATACAATCTATCCTGCAAAAATGAAGAAGGTAAAGAAGGATAGAAAGGAACCTGCCAATAAAATCGGAGCCAGTTCTCATCTATGATTTCATTTTCATCGGAACCTTCCAATTCCTTCCATTTTTGAGCAAGCATATGTGCTAAATCAATTTCTCCGTATTCAAGTACCATGTAGATATACCCATCGTCTTTGACCCTGGAATCCTTGTTACTCATGGAACCATCCATCACTTCCTGAAGCAAAGTCTTATCTGTCACCTAAGAATGAAAGTAGATAATAACGTAAAAATTTAGGAAAAGTGAATAGCAAAACTTACTACAACAAGCACACCAAACAACTATTGACTAACTGGAAAATGATCATATGCATGATACATCAACGAACTGAGGAATCAAGAATATTACCAGTAACACCATAAGTAATATCCGTATTTGCATATATTCTAAAACAAGCTTGCATTTCCAGTCCAAATAAACGGTACAAGTAATATTGTTCAACTGGTATTCAAATTCAAAGAAAGCAGTTTCAAAAGCATATACCTCATAATCAATGAGCTGAATAATATTATTCTTCCCCTTGAGCTTGTTCAAGTATTGAATTTCCTGGCAGAACCCGTATGCCGTTGCATAGTCACGGCCTTTGAGCTTTATCTTCTTCAAGGCATAAATCGTGCAATCCGATGATATAACCTTGTGGACCTCACTACTCCCACCACTACCGATCTTTCCCAGTCTTTGATAAAGCTTTCCATTGACTTTGAAAAATAAGTCGGGATCATAACCTTTTCTACGAGATGTAGATGCTGCTTTACCACCACCACCACCTTTTTCCTGTTTTTCTGACTTAGAATTCTCCAACTTCACATCTGGTGGGGGCACGTTCGATGAAGGAGGTTGAGATTTAACGTCAATTACATTCCCTTTGGACGAAATATTTTCTTTCTGACAAGAATCTTTGTCAAGATCATAATCCTGTGTTGAACTAATCCGTGGCCCATTAGACTGGCCAGAAGATTTATCATTAGCCTCAATGGGAAATGAAGCATTAGAGCTGATAGGTGGCTGTGAAGCTAAAGCTGACTGATCTGTTGATAGCCCTGCACCAGCAGTATCCTTGGTTATATATCTAAGTGGCTGAGCAGAAACATCAAGCTGCACGCCACCCGTTTGGTGTTGGGAGCAATAAGTAGTTGAACTAATCATAGGAGCAGATGTAGCGTTTATTAGGGTTGATGTGGCACAAGAAGACCCAACCACGGATGACTGGGTCATGGCATTGCACAAATCATTTTGCAGATAATTGTCAAACTGGTGAAATTGATCATGTACACCCATGTTACTTCTAGCCAACGTTGATGAAACCCCGCCATCAGATCTAATACAATTATTGTTAATATCAATTTCCATGCCTTGAAAATTATCATGCTTCGAGTCTTGCTTGTTGACAGCTGCAGAAGTATCCACTTGGTTGCCCGCAGCATCCCATTCGACTTCTGTCAACACAAGTGAATACAAGTGAGACAACAAATCATCTATTCCAGTGGCCATTTGGTCATCGGACCCTGCATAAGACAATTTGCAATCTACACGATAAATAGTAAACTTTACCAACCCCTAATTTGTACTACAATTTCCCTTTTTCTTATTTTGGTATTTTTAACATGAAAGAAGCATATTTCACATTGAGGCATCACTTGACAAATAAAAACATTATACCGCCAGATGAGGCTATATTTTCACTGGGAAAATGAACCTTCCGTCTCACATCCGCTACTGCATTGCCAGGCTCAACACCTGAAGCAACTGCATCATTGACTCCAGACCTAACAGAAAGTCCAGGTTGAGCTCTCTGAATATGGAATGGCTTAGGATTTTCTTCATTGGTATTTACAGTGGTGCCCCATTCTGAAGGTGGAGTGATTGATGCAGCTTCATGGTTTTCTCCACTGATCTTGGACTGCGGAATGGAGCCCCTCAATCTGGGACCCTGCAGAATATCATCTTTACTACTTTTAGCAACATTTGTTGACTGAGGTTCTAAATTTGATTCCTTTGAGCTTTCTTGCTGAGGAACCAAGAATCTCCTCGGCTTAATGCCATTTGTCTGCATCATACCTAAATGTCATCAGGAAATAAATCATGCAGAAGTCAGGAAACTACAGTCAATGACCAAAGTGGCAAATTCACCAAAACAGAAATCCAATCAATGACAAGTCTCAAAGAAGTGATACATAACCGTAGCAATATATCAACCAAACCCTCCTGACACACATTACTAGTTGAAAGAAAGAGAGTTCAGAGTCAGATTCTTAGAAGCAGAAGTACAAACTTAAAAAGAACCGCTAATGACGGCACACAAACCAAAATGGCACATCCTAGAGAAGAAACTTGACCTTAATGTGGCAATGCGCGTCAAAAAGAACAGTATCATTTTATGAATAGAACTACTTAAAGCCTAATACTTAAGTTCAATAAGAAGTAAAGACTGCATATTTCCTAGCATGAGGATTTCTAATTTTTGCTCAAAATGACCTAATTAGGCAACTGGGTATATTCACTTCTCAGAGCTCAGTACAACAAACCACAACATACTGTCCATCTACACATGAAGTTTCTTCTTTTAAGCTTTATCTAAGGGAAAGGACTAAATTGCACAAAAATAAACTCTAAACTACAAAAGGCGACAATAGCCAAAGAGACTGCAAAATTGATATCCCTAATCAATTAAATTTCTCAAAATGTAAATCACCAGAAAACAACGAAACAGAACCAAATGATCAACCAGAGATGATTTACAAATGTGAATCTAACAATATTAAAACCTAAGGGACGATGTCGCTTGAAAGCAGCTTGGACATGCCGGACCAGGTCCGGCGGGGATGACGACGAAGACGAAGTCGTTGAGGAGCAGGTGGTGTTGAACGTGCGGCTGAGGTTTATGGATTCCGGATGGATGTTTATCGGACGGCTCGTGTTGGGGTTGAAGAATTTGGCTTCCGGCGGTGGGTCCGGAAGGTCAGGCTCCCCTTCCATCGATTGAGCGCTCGAGCATCTCTGGTTTCTTAGTTCTATTTGCCGGGAAAAACACGCCGGAATAGGAATTACAGGGAGACGACCATTGAAGGAATGCACTCTGCGCCCCGCTTGCCCGACACCGTGAGTGCTTGCGTGTGTGTGTGTGTGTGTGGAGATGAGGAGACGGGTAGCGGAGGATTTTGAAAATGGTTTGATGGCGCTGTGTGTTTCAAATATCGATTGGGCTGTCTTTGTGATATACTAATGGGCCCATGGTTGCGGGTTCATATTTTCGTATTTAGGTCAAATTCAGCCCATTTTATATTAATTTGGGCTATCTGTGGCCCAATGGATCTGGACATGGGTTTACAAATGGAACTCTTTATACGGCGTCGTATTATCCACACCTATAGTTCATTCTGCTTTGAGGACAGTACCTTTTCACCTACGCAGACTTGTGTTTACTGCATAAAGTTGGCACAGCCGCCGCATACTTTGGCCGGCGACCTCGACCGGCGACGGCCACCTCTCCGTTCCGGTGTTTTCACTTGGTTATCTCATATCTGGTAAGATACTAATCTAGCGCTAGATGTTAAATCATTGAAAGTTTGTCTCTTTATTTCTGGCTTGAGATTTGAGGTAATCGGCCTGTAACCATCAAGATCATTTTTTTTTTTTTTTTTTTTTTTTTTTTTTTTGTATGTGTCTGTTTCAAAATTTGCCAGACAATGGAAACCTGTGTATGATTTCCTGTTCGTTTTTCTGTTTTGCAGTCTTCTGCTTTATTGGATGAGAAAGGCTTTTGTAGTCGCTCATGCGTTGTTCTAAAAACTAATTTTGAATTGCTGTGTAAAAATGGTATTTTTACCACTTTGCACAACAGTTCTGGAATCTATATTGAGTGGTGTAGTAGAGTAAATATTTAGGAGACCAAAATTCTTGTATGAGGCGAGTTTACGGGTCGACCCATAATTTTTCTTTTATCAAAAAATGCAACTTCTACAATAAAATGTCATATTTTTTTTATGTTGTTTTTGGTGCATAACATTTCAACTTTAAAGTATACATATCTGTTGAAAGAGTAAGACCAAATGATACTCGTGATGCTATCTTTCAATGGATTTTTGTTCTTGTTAACTGATGTAGTTGTTGATGATTGGAAAAGAAGCAGATTTCTTACTTTGGCTTCTTTTTATAGTTATTGAACTTGTTTGGGCTCCTAAAGCAATTTCGTCGTTTTTTTCGAACAAGACCGTGACCGAAATTCTTTAACTCTTCCGTAATTAATCGTCATATCTGTTATATTTGTATTGCCAAGTGCCAAGTGCCAAGTACCCAATGTAGTTTGTGCCATGGCTCGACAAAACACTACTTCTTTGTATGATTCGGCTTATACATTCTTGTTTATATTTTTCTTTCTTGAATTCGTAGAATTTAAAAAACAAACTTTTTACCTCAGGCACTCCCCTGAAAATTGACAATGAGGCTTCTAACTCACAACATGCTCTCGTCGAACATCAAAGGTGTGACAAAAGGATTCCCTTTGAAAATCGAGGTTGAGAAAGTGTTGCAAAAGGAAGTTGAATTAAACCGGGACTTCCTTCGGAACATGTTTGCTAAGGTTGAATGGAAGGCCCTAGTGGATGCTTCTAGAACTCTTGGCTACTCTGAGCTGCCCGACGAGGAGGGACCTACCATGCTCGACTCGGATGATTTTCTGCACAAGTTCCATTATGCCCTTCTCGAGCTTCATCTTGAGGATGCGTGCCTTGGTTTGTCCCGAGACAGGCCGTAAATTTCCTGTCAACAAAGGGATTCCCAATATGCTGCTCCATGAGGATGAGGTTTGATTGTTTTTTTTTTTTCACGAGAATTGTATGGATTTGAAGTCATTCGAGTATTTGTTTGCAGTAAGACTGATGTTAGTCAGACCTAACTAACGGTTAGACAGACATACTTTTTAATTTGATCAGATATACTTGCTTACTATCATCTAGCATGTGATATACTTTGCAGTAAGGCTGTCAGATAGACCATACGGTTATATAGACATATTTTTTCAGCAAATATGCATACTTTCAAATTAAAATGTCATACTTTGTAAAACAATATAAACAAAATATGAGATGTTAAAAGCATAATTATATATATTTGGTAAAAAGGTACGAATCTACTCGACTTGCCTAATGATTGCTCCCTATTGTTTGTAGCAACGGCTACCATACCTCTCAATTACTTTTTTTTTTTTTAAATAAAAATAAAGACTGTGGCATTAGTATGAATTTGAACGTGATTAGGAGTACGAAATTTTATTTCATGGCGGATAGCCTCTAACGTGAATTTGAAGCTTGGTAGAATCAAATCAGCTTTCTCATTCAAATCACCATTTATTATGATGTAATTAGTGGAAATCTTGTTCTTAGTAAATTCTCTTTATTCTAGGAATCGTAATTTGCGTGCCCACTAAATGCTCATCTTTTCTCTTTTTCTGATTTTCTCGAATTTTTTTCCTCTATTTACTTCAACCTTTTTAATTGAACTTGTGATTATGTTTCCATCGTTCTCTTTAAACGAAAATTATTTTATACTGTCAAATATTATACTTTTATTTACATTATTTTTACTGAGTATTACATTTCTTAATCATAGTATGCATATTTATTAATACATACATTGAACTAATGGTTAAACATATAAGATTAAACTTTTAAAAATTGCAACAATTAGATTGATGATAAGCAGATTTCACGATTAGGCAATCTTATTTTATTAACAGACATGCATATTACAATATAAACATATGATATTTCATAACATTAGTAAATATTTCTGTTAAAAATAATACGACGGGTCAACCCATCTAAAAATTAAGTCACCTTCATATTAAATATTGTGAACCATAATTTTGTATATAAAAAATAATGAAAAAGTATTACTATGTCCTAGTTATCCGGATGTCTTATATGGGACCTTCAAGACATTGCAATTAATTACCCCATAGTTTATTAATTTTCTTTTTGGCTCTAAAGTTATGTTCAAAATTTAATCAGTCATATAATATAGTAGTAAAAGAAACCTGAGATTCCCTTCTACAACACCAGCACACTAATTACTAATTAATAATACACACATGCTCCTTTGTCAGCTAGTGTATGCATTGCTGCCCCATTCTTATCCTTCATTGTTTTCTGTTCTCTTTGCCAGAAAAAAATATAGTACTTATATTATTACTTTTATCGTACCTGCATTCCCATTGACTGTATTAATATTTTCTTAATTACAAATATATTTTAATAAGCAAAGTTTGTGGCATTTTCAAATCTCATTTAACATTTTTTTTAGCTGCCCAATTATGTTTGGATAAATAACTTTTTCCCATCTTAACTATCATGTTTTTTTTGCGCGGTGTGGAGATTCTGGACACGCAGGGTGATTGACACCTATATATCCCAACATAATTATAAAAAATTTCCAGTGCTTAATTATGCCCAATGTATGAACGTATGCATGTACAAATGAGAAGATGTGGTCATTCGTTGGTCAAAATTTGGTTAATTGGGCCAATTTACATCCAATTGTCATTCAAGTTTAGGGAAAGACTACGGTCCCGTTACGGTACCATTCCGTCAAGTGTTTAAACCGTTGGATTATCTATCTTATACAAACTACATGTGATCCAACGGTTAAAACACTTGACGGGATGGTACCGTAACGGGACCTTTGCATTTCCCTCAAGTTTATTGATTATATATACATTAAAAAAAAATGTATATGTACCCGCAAATATATGATTAAAATATTACGAATTTTTAATACGTGGGCACATTTTAATATGCTCACGGTGGGTATGCGAGTAATTTTGACGGTTAGAATTCATACTTTCTCAATCAATATTCTTGAAATGCCACCTAAAAATAAATAAATGAATAAATAAAAGTAAGACATTTCATCATAACAAATAAGTACTTTTAATTATAAACGAAGCACAACAGGCCGAACTTCTAACGGTTACCCATTTACGAAACAGTAAGGTTATGGTGAGACAACCACACATTTTTAACAGACATGCATACTTTGAAATAGAGTTTTAAATTAAACAAATGGAACGTTCACGAACAAAAGCTCGTTCGTGTTCGACAAATGCTCGTTCGTTTGTTAATCGAGCTGAGTTCGAACAGAAAATTAGGCTCATTTAATAATCGAACGAATCATTTGCTAACGTTCGACAATGTTCGCGAACATTAATTTAATGTAATTTTATTTTATTTTTTATATATCTGCATATTATTGTTAATAAAAATGTAAAATATAGAAATATTTTTATTTTATTTTTTTATTTTCGAGTTCGAACGAACAAATGTCGAGTTAATCAAACATATTTAAAAAGTTTATGTATTAAATTATTCGAACTCGAATTTTGACGAACAATTAACGAATGAGCTCGAACACGATTTTTTGCTCGAAAAATAAACGAACGAACACAAACACTGTTCGAAATTAAACAAACACGAGCTTGAACAACCCAAGCTCGGTTTGATTTGATTCGTTTACAGCACTACTTTGAAATTGACATATCACTCCTAAAAAGACTATAAACAAAAGTATTTTTAATGTGAATATGCATTTTTTCGGTGAAGAAATATGACAGACCGACCCGCCTAACGGTTAGCTGACCTCATGTGACAATTTGTCATTTTAAAAAGAGAAAAATATAATTTTGGTCCACTAATTGAGGTTGTTTTCCATTTTTGCACAGTAATTTATTGGTGTCCGAAGTTGGTTGAATAACTCTTAAATTTTTGACTAAAATTTAAGAGTTATTAGACCAATTTAGATCTAATAAAATGTCAGACATTTTGTCGAAATTAGACCAAATTGACTGAAATTTAAAAGAGTCATTTGACAAATTCCGGACCCCGATAGTTATTTGACATAAATGATAAATAGCCTAAAAGTAAAGGACCAAAACTGCAAATATCCCCTGTAAAAAAACATGTCTTCATAATTTCATTAGGCGTGCGAGTAAAAAGAGTCTACAAGGGAGAAAGGGAGAGGCATATCCATCTATCTCCTCACGTTCACTCCAAACTTTTGTTACAATCTTTCCTCATTTTTATTTTATCAAAAAAAATGGCCAAAAGCATCAGAAGAAACACCAGAAAACAGCCCAAAGACAAACAACAACACAAAAAACCACCACACTCATGGGCAGCAGTCAAAAGCCTCTTCACCTGCAAGTACCTCCAGGTACAACCCCCACAGCCCCACGTACAACCCTCCCAACCGAGAAAACCAGAGCCCAAGAAACAAACCAAGCCCAAAATCAAGTACTGCTCGGCCTCCATCTGCAACAACACCAAGGTCATGCAAAAGCCCGATCCGGGCCCGAAACTCTTAACCGTAACCCGGCCCGAATCAAATTCTCCCTCGATTTCTGGCCCGTTTAGGGGAATGCCGTTTCGGAAGTTATCGGGTTGTTACGAGTGCCGGTTTGTGGCCGACCCGTCTTTGAGGGGCTCGATTTGTTCGTGTCCTGAGTGTGGCGAGATCTTCATGAAAGCTGAGAATTTGGAGATTCATCAGGCTGTTAGACATGCAGGTAATTAAGCTATTCTATATTCAGAAATTCTTATGTAAAACGGTCTAAATATTAGGCAGGTCGACAAAATGTATATATATACTTGTGTGCTATCAATCAAATATCATACTTCTGTTATATGTTTGGGTGTAACTTAGGTAGACATGTACAGCATTTTGGTTAAATTAGAATTAACAAAGTGAGATCCAATTAATAAATCAATAAAGTAGGAAGATATGTCAGTTGTAGTATATATATGTTTGTTTCACTTTTATAATTTTTTGATAGATATGTATACTGTATGCATTTTTAGTTGTAGGATAAGTATACATTTTTAGTTGTAGAAGAATAAGTATTTTTGTTATTAGTATGCATTTCAAAACATAAGTGCTATTTTCATATTCTAGTAAATGATTTAAATAAAAGTATAGCAATTCATGATAGCATAAATATCTATTTTTATTTAAAATATATGTAATGGTCGAGAATTTGTATTGAACAAAATACATTAATTAGAATTATTATCATTTTAGACAATGGTTTTCCAATGTTCCAAGACGGAAAAAGAAAAGATGACCTTCCATTTTAATTACTTTATCCCTCACTTTTAGAAGATAAAATGATGAATATTATTGTTCTTTCCCTCTTGTTATTTTTCCCACATTTTCACTTTATATGTGTTTTTCATACAGTTATATTAATTTTTTTTTTTCAAAAAAAAAAACCTTTTATATGTTACTCTAAATTCAGAGTACAAAAATCTTAAAGCTTAATAAAGCAAGGGAGCGAGTAGTTATTTCATCATTAATTCTTTTTGTGGTCAAACTCTTTATTTCTTCAATTTTTTCGAAAGTTTGAGCACTCCAATACCTAGAAATTCATCATATGTAGTCTTCCCAACCAAGTAAAACATAAATAATAATTGCACCCAAATGCATGTTTATTTAATTTACATTTCTCAAAGTCTTAACCCATTCGTCACATACTTAAATATTATTATAAACATCTAATGCACAATCTCTCATTCTATTCACTCTTCCCAACATTGGCCCATAAATGCTTCTAGAAAATGGTGAAATAAATTACTTATAAATCCCACACCAAATAAAAATAGGCAAATACACTTAAATTAGTTATAACTGTGATCAAGTTAAACCGAACTCGTCAGCAGCTAAGATTGAGTTCAACTCGCTTATTAATATTAACGAACTGAACTATACACAATTATGTATAAAAAAAATGAAAATAATATTTTTGAGTCATAAACCTTATATCGACCTGAGCTCACGAGGTACTCGTTTCATTTAACAATTTTTGATAGACCTAACCATCATACTAATTTCAAATTAAATTAAATGTTATACTTTATTACATGCACAACCTAAATAAATGTACAACAATATTTCATAGTAGTAGCAAAAAAATTTGTTAAAAATGTAAAACAATTAGACCAACTCACACAATAAATATTAAATATTGTGGTGTGCAATAAAATATGCAAGCCATCTTTTTCATTCTGATGCATGAACATGACAAGGAAAAAAAATTANNNAAAAAAAAGCAGTATCCGAGTTGGGCCCAGAGGACACGAGCAAGAACATTGTTGAGATCATATTCCAGTCCAGCTGGCTCAAGAAGCAGGCCCCCATTTGCAAAATCGATCGCATACTAAAGGTCCAAAATACCCCCACCACAATATCCAAATTCGAAGAGTATCGTGACGTCATCAAGGCTAAGGCCACGCGGCAGCCGAAGAAGCACCCGCGCTGCCTGGCCGATGGCAACGAGCTCCTACGGTTCCACTGCACCACTCTCATGTGCTCGTTGGGCCTCAACGGGTCGTCCAATTTGTGTGGGCCAAGCCCAAGTTGTGGCGTGTGTAGTGTCATCAAGAACGGGTTCAAGGTCACGTCAGATGTCTCGTCTAGAGGTGAGTTTTTATTTCTTTATATATAATATATTTAGAACTATTTTATTTGAATAATTTGAATTATTGCTAGTCAGATCTTAAACTAAATATGTTTTCGCGCACGACATTTTGGTATGAAAGTACATAGAAAAATGAACTGCAAAATATGTCCTAATTGACATTTTAGTTTGTGTTTTGTGTTCTATATTTTCGACTATTTAAACTACCTTAGCATAAATCTCTCTCTAGATTCAATTCAAGAGCTGATTGATTCGATTGGTTTTTGTTGTTTTAGTTGTTATAGTCTGTAATTATTTGTGTTATTATTATAAAATCTATCATTTAAAAAAAAATGATTGCAAAATATGTCTAGTGACTTTTGGAGTAGATTACAATTGTGTCAAGCAACTATCATAATTGCATTAAATGTCCATTAAATTTTACTACTTTTTTATTTGAGTTATTGTCTAGTCCGGAAATTAATAATATCCGCGAATGACATTTTACTATAAAAAATACTTTCATATAATAATTATTGATGCACCGGAAAAAAAATAATTATTGAATTTTCTGGCATACTGTGCTTTATTTTTATTAATTAGTGAATATTTTTGTTTAATAATCACAAAAGTTAATGAACAAACTTGTCACCTGCACAAAATTATTGGGAATATTTTATAATTTTGACAAATTGAAATATGATGATGATTTTTCATTTGAATTAATTTTGATTTATACATTTTTCATTAGGTATATTGACAACTGCTACGAGTGGGAAAGCTCATGACAGTTGTAGGGTCGGGTCGGATAATGATCATGGGGAGAGGGCAATGCTGGTTTGCCGGGTTATTGCGGGTCGGGTAAAAAAGAACCCGGATGGGAACTCGGAGGATTATGACTCGGTGAGTGGGTCAACCGGAGTTTATTCCAATCTGGACGAGTTGTACGTTTTCAATCCAAAGGCTATACTGCCCTGCTTTGTTGTGATCTATAGAGGTTTTTGATGGACGGTTAATTTAATTTGCAAGATGAAAACTAGAGAAAATCATTAATTGTTCAATTAATTTGAAAAATAATTACTTAGTTTTCTTGTGAATATATGCAATTCCTGTTTTGATGTGAACAGAAGTTTGGATCATGGTAATTTAATTAAGGACTAGTTTAATTCACTTTATTAATATGTTTCATTGTTAGTAAAATTAAATTGGTAATATATAATAGGAGTAAATGTGCAAATTCCACCTCGAAACATTACTAATACTTAACCCATGTAATTTGTGGGAAAATTTGCAAAATATTAATTGTCAATAATTTGGGGTAGATGATAATTTGGATAAAATCCACTTATTAATTAAAATTACTTGAATAATAAATTTTAGGCAATATTTTGCATCTTTTCGTAAGTTTGATAATATTTTTAGAAAGATCTGCTCAAATTAAATTGTAGTCTTTTAACAACTTAATTATTGGACTGTTATTAAATTTTATTTTGTTTTTTGGAGCAATTTATAGGTTATATAATATCTATATATATATAATAAGAATTATCATTTACTAAAAATAGTAGCCAAAAATTTTGGAAACATTAAATGCATACTATTTTTAGAAACTTTTTAAATATATACATTAATTGCTTCCATATACACGTTTTCAAATAAGATATGATCAAAAAATTAATTAAATAAATTTATTAATATCTGCAATACTTTCATTGATATTTATTATAATAAATTACAAGATTGATTTTCCGTGATTCATGTTAATAATATTTTGATCAAGATAAATATTATTTTGTTAATATTTGTAATACTTTCATTGATATTAGTTGTAATAAATTACAAGATTGATTTCCATGATCTATGTTGATAATACTTTGGTCAAGATAAATATTACACCATATTTTAAGTTCTAACCATATTATAATTTTTTTTTCACAAATACTCATTTTTTACCCAAAAATATTTATGAAAAATCGTAACATGTTACGTAGAATTTTTTTTCCAAGTAATCAGACAAAATGAAGCTGGTGAATTAATTTTTTTCAATATATTTTTTTCTTAAGCTTTATTTTATTAAATCTTAAAAATAAATTGTTCTTCAAATTAATATAATATAATGACCATATACATTAAATAGTTTTATTAATGGTAAAAAATTAAAATTAAAATATATTAACTATTTTTTAAAATTTATTTGAATATTATTGACACCCATGATTATTCTTTTTATTTTTTATTTTGATTTATTTCTATAATTAAATTCTTGTAAAATAAATTTTCATTGCAGAGTATGCTAATAAACTATAAATCCTTATAATGAATATTAGAAAAATCTTGATTATAGAAGGGATTGAGTTTTTGGTATTTTCTAAATCAAAGTTGTTTAATTAGTATACAAAATTAAATTCTAAAAAAACATGTGTATATTCTATAAAATATTTACACACTATTTAATTTTAAATTTATTTACATATTTTAAATTGATTACATTATTAAATAATACTAACGTGCATTAAATATTTTTCAATACATAAAATAAAAAGAAAAAGAGGACGTACAACTTCTATAACTTTATAAATAATAAATAATAATGACATTATATGACAATAAAGTTTATAATAAAATAATAATTAAGTATTATATGGTGAATAAGAATAAGTAAAATTGTTGTTCTCTCTTAGAGTAAATCTATATACTAAAATTAAATTTATATTAGTATAATGTGTTAGTGAGATAATATATTAATTATTTTTACAAGCTAGCCCTAACATGCTCATATTTAATGTTTTAACTAAAAAAACCACGCTGATCAAAAGAGGTGCAAAATAGATTATAACATTATTGTTTATTACACTTAACGCTGATTAAAAGATGTGAAAAATAGATGATAACCCTATTGCTTTATATAATTAAACGGACAAAGCCAGTGAAAATAACTAATTTAATATGTCTGTCCCGTATCGCACGGGGTACGTACTAGTATGAAATTAACGACAGGAAAAAGAACATGGCACGCGAGGTGATGCATGTGCATGATTCGAGTACAAATTATATTTACAAGAATGAAAAAAGAAAAGTAACTCTGTACATACATCAGACTTTATTTTTTCATACTTTCATAATTAGTAGCATAAAATATTGTATGCTCTACACCAACTTTAATCAGAAGGCCCACTTTAGTATCTAACACTTTTTTTTTTAATTATAAATTATATTAAGTAATCTAGAATGATAATTTTATCCCGTAATTTACATAATTTTGTATCCACTAATTAATCAAGTCACGAATATGTTATTCAAATACGTGAGAATTGTTGAACATGTTTTGTAAATTTTTTGCAGTTAATCAGTGTTATTTATTTGTGTATTTTTTTTTTATGTACATTGTACCGATTTTTTTCAATTACTTACACAATAGCAAAGTTACTAGACAAAATTTAATGCGAATGTATTTTCATATTCTGAACTGCCAATTTAACCAACCAATAAAAAATAAAAAAGAACAAAAAATTCTTATTTGCATGTATTATTGTGTAAAAAAAATACTTATATTACATGATAGCTACCAACAAAAAATTTAAAAAAGAAAGAAAGACACGTGCTTTTCGTTAATTGTCTCAATCTAATGTGCAAGTGTGTTTTACATCATTGAGACGAGCAACAAACGTAGATGTTGATCGTACAGGCCCGTGATTTTTTATTTACAGTACAAAAAAATAATTAGGTCCAATATTAATTAA